GGTGTTTTAGTCATGAAGTCCTTGCCCATGCCTATGTCCTGAATGGTATTGCTTAGGTTTTCTTCTAGGGTTTTTGTGGTCTTAGGTCTTACATTTAAGTCTTTAATCCATCTTGAGTTAATTTTTGTATGAGGTATAAGGAAGGGGTCCAGTTTCAGTTTTCTGCATGTGGCTAGTCAGTTTTCCCAACACCATAAAATGGTAAAGTATTTTTTAAGTGACAAATGCTTAGGACCAGTAAAAGTTGAACTAGAAGAAGAGATATAAACCAGGGAAAACACTACCTAAAGTAATTCAATTGTAGTTGATGAATACTTGTAAAATGAAAAATCTTTTTGTGATGAGGAGAATTCACAGTCACTGAACTGCCCGATTTATTTTATTTTTTTTTATTTATTCTTGAGACAGAGTTTCACTCTGTCACCCTGGCTGGAGTGCAGTGGCGCCATCTCGGCTCACTGCAACCTCTGCCTCCTGGGTTCAAGTGATTCTTGTGCCTCAGCCTCCCGAGTAGCTGAGATTACAGGCATGCACCAGCACACCTGGCTAATTTTTGTATTTTCAGTAGAGACGGGGTTTCACTGTGTTGGCCAGGTTGGTCTTGAACTCCTGATCACAGGTGATCCACCCACCTCTGCCTCCCAAAGTGCTGGGATTACAGGTGTGAACTTACAGGTGCGAGCTTACAGGCGTGAGCCACTGAGCCCAGCCTGAATTGCCTGATTTAGAGGACATCTTTTCACACGTCTCTCCGTAACTAGGGGCTCATTATCCAGTTTATGAATTATCCAGGCTCTCCTCTTCCCTTTCCTATGCTGCCATGTGATTTTACACAGTGGTATCCGAAAGTGTGGTCCCACCTTTGGGACCAAGCAGCATCAACATCCCCGGGAAACTTGTTAGATACAGATTCTTGGACCCCATCCAGACCTACTGAGTCAGACACTCTAAGGCGGGGCTCAGTAATCTGTGTTTTATCAAGGTGATTCTAATGCTACTCAAGCTTGAAAACCACTGTTAACATCCCAATTAGAAAATAAAAATAAATGGAGTAGAAAAGAAGATTAAATATTAAAAAGCCCTATGCCAAGGGGAAAAATAGGAACTGTCCATGAATATACCAAACTTTACCTGAAATAAGAATTCACAGCATGCATCAACAAGTCAAGGGTAGCAAAGCATTGCTAAATGCATGTTTTAAAATTCTGTGAGTTAATAAAAAGTTTTCAAAGAAACTGTCTTCCTCTTTGTAACTAACTTCAATATGACTCACCTGAAATCGTATTTGTTACATTCAGATTAGCCCAAACATCCCAAGAACAGGTGAAAGATTTTGATAAGTCATCGACTTTATTATTGTCAGATCTAAAATATTTATTATTATCTAACATTCAAATCAGACTTCAAAAATTGAAAGTTCAAAATATTGCTCTTGTTTTTTTTAAAATTAGCAATTGTGGAAAATATAATTACGTATTTAAATCAGCTGTTGAGTGAGACTGCTATAGGAATATAGAAATGTCTAGATCATCTATAAGTTGGACTTTAAAGTTGGAATTTTCTAAATAAGTTGTGCTGGTTAGCCTTAAAATAAATTTTATAAAAACTGCCTTTTCTTCCTCCCATCCCCAAAATAAGATTAAGAAGAAAAAAGTGCAGTAGGTGAATTCTAACATAAACCTGACCCACGTCAGATTTATCAGAGCAGATCACCAAAATCATTGGTCCACCGTGACTGCACTGGGTCACTGGAACTCTTGTGAATGTGTACATTTCTATGACTATAGACTACAGAGCCTTCTTTGTGGCTACAGAGACTACTGCAGACCAGACCACCAGCTCTGCCAATACAAACAGAAAAATCAGGATGTGTGACCGGAGGAAATAAACAAGTGGCATCCACTCCCTTTATTTTATCTCGTTTTATTTCTTTCAGATTATTTCAGCCAAAGTTGAAAACTCTTTAAGAATGAATTGGGGATAAACCAGGGATCTTCTGGGCAGTTTTTGATTTGACCTCCTGTACAATAAAAGGGAGAAACAAAAGAGTTATAAAACATTCTGCCTGGTTGGAAGGTTGAGTAACATAAGGAAAGAAAATAACAGATGTTAGATGATGGGCCTGAGATGGGCATGAATTTAAAGAACCACTGGCAAGTGCCACGTCCTCTGTGTTTAAGTTCTAAAGGGAGTCCGTTGAGCACACTGTTTACCTTCTAGTAATTTCTCACTGAATGGACATTAGAAGCCATTATAGGGACTCAAAGTTGAAATAATGTTTTAAACTAATTTGTATTTCTCTACATCCATTTTTAATAAGATATCTCTTAGTCTGAGTTATTAAAGTTTAAGGAATTACCTCACCGTAAAACCACTGAACACTTCAAGATTCTCTACTTTAAAGGAAAGACTTCTGATAGAGAACCTGTCAGCCAGGAGGAGCTGCCATCCAGTGACTCATGAGTCCTCCTGGATTCTTCGTGTTTAAACTCATCAAGGTGACTTCAGAACAGAAAGTCTTTTCTAAAAGTGCTGACCTTGAAAACAACGACTACATTGATTGATGCTCTTTGGTATTCCCTCATGCCTCTGCAAAAAAAAAAAAAAAAAAAAAAAAAATATATTTTGCCAGATACCAGGAAGTCCAATTTTTATAAGATGTGCAGGATCCAATGGTAGGAAATTTTTTTACATGTTTTTCAAAGCAGCAAAACTAGTTAAAATAAAGTTACTTTTTTAGAGTTAGCAAATTAGAAAAGCTTTTGCAGAATTTTTTGGTTCATCTGAAAACACTGCTTTGGATACAGGAACTAGCAGCTTACTTTTCCTCGTCAGTCTTAAAGGCATGTTGCAGGTGACATTTTTCTGTCACCAAGTTCCTGGTGAGAAAAAAAGTCACACATTTAGTGTTTGGAGGAAACCATATCGGCCATCTTGTCCAGCCACCCTTCCAATGCTTGAAACCCCTATACAGCATCCCCACAGGAAGTGACTCAAACTTACAGAGTGGACAGGTTTTTTTAAAAGTGCCAGGGAGTGGGAATGGAGGACTAAGGCAGAAAGTTTCTGCTTATTCCATTCATGTTATTTGCAGTATACTACCCACTGGAGATGTACAGAATCTCCACAGTCCTCTGCAGCTTGTATGACTGTCCTGACCCTAGGTGCTACAGTAGCTTCCAATCAGAGAAACACAGCCATGGTTTCTTAACCTCAGCACTTTGCCAGTTGGAGCCAGATAACAGTTGTAAGGGCTATCGTGTGCATTGTAGGATGTTTGACAGCATCTCTAGTTTCTACCCACTAGATGCCACTGGCATTTATCTCCCCGACCTCAAGCCCAAACCTGGTTTGACAACCAGAAATGTCTCCAGAATTACCAAATATCCCCAGTGGCAGGAGGAGCGGGGCAGGGCAAAACTGTCCCTAGTGGAGAACGATTGGTCTAAATTAAGAATGTGTTCTGTGAGATACAGGATCTAAAGGAACCAGATCCAAATTATTTAGAAAGCAGTGGCTGAGATCTTAACTGTTTGCTTAGTCAAATAAACAGTTCCACAATTGACAAAATGTTAGTGCAGTTCTTTTTTCTTTTTTGTACAATGAATGAAGCAAATATTTCAGTCCATCACACCTTATTAAAAACATGCTACTGCAATAGGTGCTATAAAAAATGCAGATAGCAGAACCCTATTACCTAGATTCCAAGACAACCTTGACTTGAGGATGCACATCAATTTTTTATGTTTTAGTGTAACATCCATACAGAAAAGTGCGCATATCACGAGTGCACTGTATCTTCACAAACTGAAAACACCATGTCACCAGTTACCAGATGAAGAAACAGACTGCCAGCATCCCAGAAGGCCCCTTGTGCTCCCTTCAGTCCCTATGAGCCCCCTGATAGCCACTGTCCAGATTCACAGCAGATTAGCTTTGCCTGTGTTACACTGACTCCCTAGATGCTCAGCAATTTAATACCAGCCTTTTGAGAGAAGAAAAGAAACATTACATTAAAGATGTACAAGACCTCTAATATGCATCTCAGTTCCGTAACTAAAACCGACTGATGACTCCCAAATGTTTATCTCCAGGCATAACTTCTTTTCTGAGCTACTAACTCCTGTATCCAAAAGGCCATTCACATAGAACACATAAAAACAGCTCTTACCTCCCATTTCACCCCTCCCTCAACACCACCCCCCCCTCCTGCCCCACCTTCAGCTTACTCCATCCCTCTCCCCATTCTGTCTCATCTCTGGAAATGGTGCCTTCACTCACCCAGGTGTTCCGGGTCAAAATTCTAAGGGTCATCTTGACTATTCGCCCTCATTCACTCTATTCACAGGTCTCTGTTGCCTCTGCCTTCAAAATAAACACTAGAGGTATCTACTTTCTTTCATCTTTACTGCAACCCCCAGGGTTTAAGCTAGTGTTATCTATTGCACCGCTCCTGCAATGATGCAGTGACTACAGTCTGGTCTCCATATGTTTGTTTTTGCCCCTTTATGGTCTGTTCTCTGTACAGTAGCAGCAGTGAGCTTTTTCAAACATAAACTGATTTGTATCGTTTCCAAACATAAAAGCTTCCAGTGGCTTCCTCTCACACTCAGGATAAAACCCGAAGTCCTCTCCCTGACTGGGTACTGGCCTATTATCCCTGTGACATCATCAGTGATTCATCACCGCATGGCCTGGGCTTTCCTTTTGCCGGGCTCTGCCTGACTGGCTTCCTCATACCATTCAGGTCTCTGTGCAGATGCAGCCCCTTCTGAGAGTTTTTCCACACATCCAAATCATTCTCTACTCTCCTGGCCCTGTTTTAATTTTTTTGTAGCTCCTACCAAAACCTGGTCTGTCTTTGTCTGTCTCCCCAGTATGTAAGCATCCAACAGGGTAAGAATATTGTGTTACTTACTGTTTTGTTTAATTTAATTTAATTTAATAATTGTCTTAATACTTAATTTAGGAGAGCTAAATAATTAAACATGAGGCCAAAGTACATAAGAAAGCAGCAGTCTTTTATTGCAAGTATGCACACACTCTCAGGTGAGGTTCTGCAGTCCTCAGGTATGGGGCCAGGGAAGTCGCGCTGGTGCTCTCGGGTGAGGTTCTCCGGTCCACAAGTAGGAGGGGCCGAAGAAGTCACGCTGGCTCCTGCCGGCAGCGGACTTTTATGCATTGGTACTGGAAGGGGGAGGGCAGTGGGCGGGATAAGGGCGTGATAGGGGCGTCTCCATAGGTGTGGCTGGGTAAGTTTCGATCTCTTCGGACTGACGTCACCTGGCGCATGCTTGGTTGATCTGCATCTTCCCGGGTGCGGGCTGCATTTTCCCGCGTGTGGGAAAGTTGGTGAGGAAGAACCCAGAAGCAACATGGATTGTGCCTTCTTCTTCACCTTCCTCCATCTTGTCCTTTCTCCCTCACCCAAACAGTCCAACCTCTTATTGATTATAAGAATTTGGGGCGCCATTGTCTGTCTGGCTGCTTCCTGCTGTTAAGGGGCGTAGTTAGGGTCTGAGGTTGGCAGTTGGATGTAGGGATGCAGGAGCATTTGGTTGAAGGTGACTCAGGTGATTTCTTGGACCTTGGCTCGGAGAAATTTTATTAAAATGGGAGCAAAACATAAGGCAAGGCAGAGGATTAGTATGGGAATTAGGAAATCACAAAGGGCACCCTGCCAAGCTAGGTCTTCTATGAGAGTAAAAAGTTGGGAAACCTACTGGTTGGGGAATGGGTTGGGAAGGAGGATGTCTATGGGGTTTATGAGGGAAAAGTCAGTTAATAGTGAGGAAGCGGGAAAATTTGAGGAGGGTGTTGATCCTTGAGTAGAACCTGGTCACCTGGAGAAAGGGAAGGGGAATAGATGTTTTGAGTTAGGTTAAGATGTCTCATCCCAAGAGGAGGGTGGGACAAGAGGGCATGATGAGGAAAGAGTGGGCAAAGCATGCATAGTCCAGGCAGTAATTTAACACTGGGGTCTGGCGAGGGTTAGACGGTTTACTGTCTACCCCAACTACTGAGATAGTGGATGGCTGGCTAGGACCTCCATAGGTTGACAAAACAGAATAGGTAGCTTCCGTATTGATGAGAAAAGAAATTGGCTTACCCGCTATCTGTATAGTTACCCTAGGCTCAGCGAGGATGACCAGGGTCTCCGAGTGTGGGCACCGTCAGTCGTCGTCCAGGTGTACGAGCTGGAAGGAGCCTTCCGGCCTTTGAGGAGAGGCACCACGTTGAGGCGCAATGCCTTCCCTGCTGGCAGGGCAATCAGACTTCCAACGTTTCTCCTGTTGGCAGGTTGGGCACGGCGTGGTAGGTGGGCGAGGATTTGGACACCTTTTTGCCCAATGCCCAGTTGTGAACTGTCTTAATTTAATTTAGTTTAATAATTGTCTTAATTTAATACTTAATTTAGGAGAGCTAAATAATTAAACATGAGGCCAAAGTACATAAGAAAGTGGCAGTCTTTTATTGCAAGTATGCACACACTCTCGGGCGAGGTTCTTCAGTCCTCAGGTATGGGGCCACGGAAGTCGCGCCGGCGCTCTCGGGTGAGGTTCTCCGGTCCACAAGTAGGAGGGGCCGAAGAAGTCACGCTGGCTCCTGCCAGCAGCGGACTTTTATGCATTGGTACTGGAAGGCGGAGGGCAGTGGGCGCAATAAGGGCGTGATCGGGGCGTCTCTGTAGGCATGGCCGGGTAAGTTTCGATCTCTTCGGATTGACGTCACCTGGCGCATGCTCAGTTGATCTGCATCTTCCCGGGCACGGGAAAGTTGGTAAGGAAGAACCCAGAAGCAACATGGATTGTGCCTTCTTGTTCACCTTCCTCCATCTTGTCCTTTCTCCCTCACCCAAACACTTACCATATCCTACAAGCTCAGGAAATTGAGGTTATGAATTAATTCAAACTTGCAGAAATTTTAAGATGAGGACCATGCAAGACTTAGAATTGAGGAAATGTCTCATAAATTCTATTTATTGAATGCCAGTCACTGCAATAGTTACATTTCATGTATTTCTTTAATTTGCACATCAGCCCTGCAAAACGGATGTGTCCTAGTTAGGTGGCTATCAGATGCAAGTAACAAAACCCAACTAAAACTAGGTTAAATAAAAGAATATTGAATATCTCATAAGAAGAGGTCTGGAGAGAGAGTTGGTCCAGATTTGAATGATTCTGTAACTTAAAGCCTTTATGGTTTCAGTTTGGCTTCTCTAGCATTTCGTTAGCTCTCCCCTCATGGTCACAGCATGGCTGTAGCTATTCCAAAAGTCACTTCCTCACTCAGCAGTCTCCAGAGGCACTTAAACAGGGAGGTTATGCATGTGCTTCTCTTTTAATCAGTGAGGAGAATCTTTTGTAGGGTCTCCTGATACCTCATTGGCCAAAATTCTCTTATACATTTATGCCTAAACCAGCCACTATCAAAGTAAACAGGCATACATACCCTGTTTTGTCATACCAGTCATTCAGCTCCATGAGCTAGGCAGGGTCTACCTGAGAGTACAAAATAGAGTCTTATGAACACTGAAGATGAGAGAGAATGCCAATAAGCTAGACAATTGAAAATGTCTGCCACGTATGTATTCCTCTCCTGTTACAGATAAGGAAATTCAGACTAAAGCACCTTATCTGGCAGAATCTCTTCCCCGCTTCCCTCTGCCCTAAGGATGGGTTAGACTTAATGACTCACTCCCAAAGAATGGAATAAGGACAGGGAAAAATAGTAACTTTACAGCAGAGAAACTGCAATCAGTACCTTAGCCCGTGGTGTCATGTGGATATTACATACCAGCTAGTATGGTGTGACGAAAAGGGCACTTAAGCTCTGCGATGTTCTTTCCAAAAACACCTAATACTGGTCTAATCATGAGAAAAACAACCGGTAAACCCAAATTGGAGGACATTATGCAGGATACTCAGCCAGTATTCCTCAAAACCATCAAGGTCATGAGAAACAAAGACTGGGAAACTGTCAAAAAACCAGAGGATATAAAGGAGATGTGATCACCAAATGCAGTGTGGAATGGTAGATTGGATCCTGGAACAGCAAAATAACATTAGTGGGGGAAATGGTAAAATCTGAATAAAGTATGGAATTTAGATAACAGTGCATTAACTAAATGCACCAATGTTAATCTCTTAATTTTGACAAATATACAGTAGCTATTTAAGATGTTAACATCTGAGGAAAGTGGAGAAAGGAACTGCTGTTACTATCTTTGCAACATTTGTGTAAATCTAAAATTATTCATAAGTAAAAACATTTTAAAAGAAATGTGTACTAGGTAATTGTTGAAACTGGATGTTAGCTATATGGGTGTTCATTGTACTGTTCGCTCTGCTTTTATACATGTTTGCAATTTAAAATGATTTTAATGTTAAAAATACATACATAATGAAATATATTTTATGAATTTCTGCCTTTGAGATACCAGCAGTCAAGAGTCACAACAATTCTTGTGCTGACTACTGAAACAATAATGAATAAGGCAGACTTCATTGACTGTTGTTTGTACGTAAACAAACAAATGATATTTCATGTCACATACTATAATCTTGCTCCTCAAAATTTGGTCCAAGAACCCACAACATTGCTATCATCTGAGATCTTGTTAGAAATGTAAAGTGTAAGGCTGACCTCTAGACCTACTGAATTGGAATCTTCATTTTAACAAGGTCCCCAGTGAACATAATACACATTAAAGTTTAAGAAGCACTGTTGGTAACCATGCGATTTTCTGCATTTCTGAGCAAATCACATCTAGAAAGTAAATTCCAATAAAAATCAGTGAAGAGGCTCATATGATGAATTTACCTTTGACTAGAGGACTATAAGTTACTTCCATTTTCTTATACCCTAGTAAAACAGATGACACTTGGTCAGAATAATAATATTTACTTAAAATAACATGTAAATTTTACCCTCTTGCTAGGGCCAGTAAGATTGTAGGGAAGAATAAAAGTAGCAAATATTCAGTGCAGCCAACTCCTTAATATGGCCTGTATCAAAGAGAAGAGTCTGATGGTTAGAAAGATGGGCAAGAAATATATTAAACTTTCATTTGCTTGTTTGAGACCAAGTATCACTCTGTCTCCCAGGTTGGAATGTAGTGGCGTGATATCGGCTCACTGCAAGCTCCACCTCCCAGGTTCACGCCCTTCTCCTGCCTCAGCCTCCCAAGTAGCTGGGACTACAGGTGCCCACCACCATAGCCAGCTAATATTTTTTTTTATATTTTTAATAGAGACGGGGTTTCACCACGTTAGCCAGGATGGTCTCGATCTCCTGACCCCATGATCCACCTGCCTCGGCCTCCCTAAGTGCCGGGATTACAGGCGTGAGCCACTGTACCCGGCTGACATATACTAAATTTGAAGACTGTTCCCTGATGATGTGGACACTGGGACCTCTCTGATCCAGGCACTGATCTTTCCCTTTGAAAATTCCCACCCAGGGAACACGCAGAGAGAAGTGATCTATCTCAGCGTTGCTTTCCCTTGCTTTTCATACCATGCCACCTTTGAAAATACATACATTTGGGGAGCACCACCTTGGTTAGAGACATCTCTGGCCACTGCTAGCTGGGCAAATTAATAGTAGAGAGAATGAAGAAGAGATCATAGATCTGATCATAAAATAGAGAATTAGCCATGATTGTTCATCTGCCCCAGAGAAGCCCACGCTAGAAGCTGAACATCTCCTCTCCCTGAGTTTCTTTTTGGAATGGAGAGCCAAGAACATGAACTGACAATGGAAAGGAAAGAAAGAGGCTGAAGGATTCACATGTGGAATGGACCCTACAGGAAGCTTTCAAATGAATACAAAGGATGTGAAAGAGACTGAAATTTTAGGGAATGCCTTGTTTCCCATGATGTACCGAGTAGGGCTTCATGGATCCATGTGACCATGCAGATGGGAAAAGGCAAACAACTGAGACAGTCTACACCAAAGACAGAGTCCAGTGAATTAATGCATAAATGGAAGGTGGAGTAGTGGGGGCAATACATATAGACAATAATTTCAGTTCGGAATTATAAGAGAGGGATATAGAGCAATAGATTGTTAACAGAAACAAGAGAGGGATCTAGTTTTCTTTTTTAAGAGAAGGAAAACCTAAATATATTTGGTTTGTCAATCAGAAGGAAATAAATGTGTTGATTAGCCAGTGGAGAAGGACAATAAAAGGTTAGTGGAAGGATTAAGGTTCTTGAAGATAAATGTGAGAGAACAAATAGAGTTGCAAATAAAGCACACAAATGATGGTTTGCCTTGGAAAGGAGTCAGGACACCTCTTCCCTGGGGAATGAAAGGAAGGAGAGGATGACTGAAGATAGTGTCAGTCAAATAATATGTGGGGTCATCTCATAAGAGTGAATAGGTACAGAGGTGTGACTAGCATCATTTCCTAAAGTTTGGAATGCCTATTTTAGAAATGCAATAAGGGTAAGGCAATGACAAGGTGATGATACAATTTATAGTGTGAGCATACTTTTGAGGATGAAAGGGTTGCTAACAGATGGAATGCCTCACAGCAGGTGTCAACCTAGACTCTTTGGGCAAATGCAGACATATGGTCACACTAGAAAGGAACCGTCACCCCACTGAAAGAACAGCTATTTGAGAGCATGAATGTGTAAGAGATTTATTCAGCCACTGTGGCCCCTCTAGCAATAAATATTGCCAGTGTGTGGTCAGTACTAAATAGGTTTCTAGATTTGAGAGGAAAAGTGAGGCAGGAATAGCAAGAGTCATGAAAATGAATGCTCCCTGGTGATCACTGACAACATCTTCAGAGTGGCAGGCAGCAGTCTGCTAGCACTGGTCTGGTAGAACTGTGTGCAGTGATGGAAATGTTTTCTGTCCGCCCTGTCCAGATGGGTAGCCCTTAGCACATGTGGCTGTTGAGCAACTGGATTATTCATTTCAAATAATTTCAGTTAAAATCCAAATAGCCACAAGTAGCTACCATATTAGAAAGTGCTGGTTCAGACTGAGCCAAGAGAAGAATGAAGCCAGCAGGGAGATTAATGAACTGTGAGGAAATCCTGCCATTTGCGGCACAACAACATGGCTGGAACTGGAGGTCATTATGTTAACTGAATAAGCCAGGCACAGAAAGACAAATACAACGTGTTCTCACTCATATGTGGGAGCTAAAAGTTTTGATCTCATGGGCATAGAGAATAGAATGATAGAATCCAGAAACTGGGAAAGGTAATTGATTAATGGGTACAAGTAGATGGTTTGATAGAAGAAAGAAGACCACTAATTAGAAATAAGAACACTAATCGATAGATTAGCAGGGTGACTGTAGTTTACAGTAACCTATTATACATTTCAAAGCAGCTAGAAGAGAATTATTCGAATGTTTCTAGCATAATGAAAAGACAAGTATTTAAGGTAATTGACATCCCAAGTATACTATCTTTACAAATTATATGAATGTATTAAATTATCACATATATTCCAAAACTATGCACATCTTTAATGTATCAGTTTTTAAAATTATTTTTTTAGAGTGCAAAATATTCAGAAAGCAAGATGGGAGTTTATTGGGCAAATTTAAGAGTAAGCATAACTGTATTTAGAACAGTACTATGTCGTGATGAAGTCCCCGGTGTGACAGTGCCTATGAAGAACCAAAGAAAAGAGTTGGTGGGACTGAGGATACTGAGGAACCGAAAAGTCAGAACATGGGCTGTCCATGTGTGTGGTGTGTGTGGTGTGTGTGTGTGTGTGTGTGTGTAATGCACACACATCCATAGGGATGGTGGGAGTTAGCTGGGTGTGGGGTACATTACATACTGGTGGCCCTGAGGAAAGGTAAGCAGGTCCTGGAGAACACAAGATAAAAACCATAGGGTGGGGAGAAAAGGATGGGAGAATGACTAAGATTTCACAAGGCAGATGATTTTGTTTGTTTTTTAAGATACTGTTTTCTGGAGGAGTCAGTATGGATCCAGGAGGATACAGATTTCTCCTCTGGCACTGGCCATTAGGGAAGGCAAAGGGAAAAATTAAATTTGTTTCCTCTTGACAAAGGATAGTAGTAGTGGTTAAACTTTTTTTATGTCTATAATATTTAATGTGGTACGTTATTCATGAACAATGTTTTCACACTGAATTGAGCAGTAAATTGGCTAAATATCTAATAATTTTATTTTACAGATCTGCTTTAATGTTGGAAGTGGACTTTACTTACAGGTGAGGAAATAAAGGATTTATTTCTGCCTTTTGACTCAGGAGGCTTAATTCCATGGCAAACAGGTTGTCTGGGCTTTACGAGATTAAAGACACACATTGTATTAGACCCAGCGATTCCCATTCAAACAAGTGCAGAGGAGCTTATCCAGGGGTGTTCAGTGCAGCAGTTTTTAACAATGTAAGTATCCACCAATAGGTGAATGTTAAAACCATTTATGGTACATGGAAGAATGTCCATGACGAGGTGCTGAATGAAAATCAGGGGGTAAAATGAGATATATAGTATAAA